ACTAGAGAGCTAGCGTCTGCGTCGTATACAACTAGAGAGCTAGCGTCTGCGTCGTATACAACTAGAGAGCTAGCGTCTGCGTCGTATACAACTAGAGAGCTAGCGTCTGAGGCTTGTGTCTGAGGAAGGATGCGGTCGGTATTCGCGCACGTAGGGAGAGAAGTTGGGGTAGGCTTCCCTGCTGTGAGATTGCTAGCTGTTGCCGTGCTGATGACGTATGCTATAAAACCGTCGATCACTGGACCCGTGGGTGAGTATAAGCTATGCATTTCTACATAACAGTGGTCATTTATTTCGTTCCACTAAACGTCTATCCCAACGAAACATTTGAATGTTGAAATATGGATTTAATAAGAGTAAAACGTTTTTATTAGGTTTATTTATATATAGCTCTTTATTCCCTTAATTAAACTTGATAAACACTTGTGATGTAAAAGATATATAAATATATATATATATATATATATATCATATTTAGACAGCTTCACGTGCACGACCACCAAATTGAAAATTTTTACGTTGGGAAATAACTTCAGCGTATTTTATTAATACACTTCTTTCACGCCAACAACTTCTCGCGCATGCTGTTATTATCCATCGCTGCATGCATGCATGCATGCATACGATAGTGCACTCATCGGCACAGTGAACGCTTGCATTGGCTCCCTGTCACTTCACTTCAGTAATAGTTAAGGGTGCCTTTTAACGAAGTGAGGAGACCGCGAGTAAGGAGTTCGTGTAGTCGACGACTGTGGTCGTTACGCACGCTTGCCGCTAGATTCCTGAGTGGTTGTTTCTGTCGCGCAGGTGTTGTAACAACGGACGAGCCTGATCTCGTCCGACCCGGGTGGAACATGGTACCGAGGCCGGCGTCCCACAATCGTGCCGCCACCAGTAGCCCTGGTGACGAACCCCGCCGCCTGACGCAGCCGGGAGGGCATGGTGTGGGCGAGGAGGAGGAGGAGGAGGAGGAGGAGGAGAAGCCTAAGGAAACCATGCAAGACGAGGATAGCGAATTTGACGGGCTGTCGATGCCTGGTGAGGGCGCGACTGACGAGGACCGCGAGGCCCGAGCGCAGAAACTCGACGACGCACTATACGAGAAATTCCACGGACTGTCCATGCACGGAGACCCCAACTACGCTCACGACCCAGCGGAGCACCACCAGGAGGCGCAGGGTGTCGTGAAAAGATCCGACGGCACCGGGGAGCAGCTGGTGGCGCCATCTGACGGCGAACAGGCGGCAGACGAGGTCGTGTACGAGAAATTCCACGGACTATCCATGCATGGAGACCCCAACTACGTCCACGACCCAGCCGAGCACCCCCAGGAGGCGCAGGGTGACGGCGCGGCCGCCGCACAGGGAGAGGACTTTGTGCAGCAGGCGTTCCACGGCGTCTCCATGCACGGCGACGCCGCCTACGTACACGACGACGCAGACAAACAGCCGCCCGCGGAGGTGGCGCCCTCTGACATCAAGGAGGAGGCGTGGCAGGCGCTGCATGGCGAGGTGATGCACGGCGGTGATTTTAAAGATAGCGACGACACGAGAAGAGCAGACGAAACCGCGGACCACCACAAAATGACCGAGGAGGAATTCACGCAGTACCAGCAGGAGATGAAGCGAGCTGCCGAGAGGTCGGGCGAGGCGGGGGGCTACAGCAGGGAGCTGGGAGGCGTCGAGGGAGGGATGAGGGAGGAGGACAAGATGGCGGAGCGCTATAGCAAACAGACGAACTTGCACCGCGGAGACGACCTGTAGCTAGCGTCTTGCGGCAGTTTCAAATTCGAATTCAAACTGATTCAAATTCTACGAATTTCCCTAGCCGACGTCGCTTTATGATTTCCGTAAATCGGTCGATTTTGTAACAGTGCTGCTTGTGAACATCGTGGTCGTTAGAATAAAGTGCATCGCTAACTATAGATGAGTGAACGTTATTCTTAATAGTTACGGTTCACTGTCGTGCTAGAGATTGGGGGAAAATTATCTTATATATTAGTGTATTGTAATTGGGTAAATGTAACTAGGTAATTGAGTAATACACCTTAATTTGATAGTGATTTCCATGATAGCTATTGTAATGATAGTGATGGAATCCCTACGATATTATAGTGATCAATGTTATTTAGCGAATTCTGTTTAGTCCTGCAATCTCCATAGGCGCTTCATGGTATCATAAACTCGTTTAACGGACGTCTCGTTTAGTGGAAAATCTTCATGGACGTATCTTCGCCGTTAAATGAAGTATGATATTTCATGTGTACACGTCGTGTCGTGATCGCATGTGTCCCTTTCTAGGTAGATATATGTTCATGTGTACACGTCGTGTCGTGATCGCATGTGTCCCTTTCTAGGTAGATATATGTTCATGCTCGTGTGTATAATTACAGTTTGTAAACCTTCAGGAACGGTGTGTAATTGTTGTGCACAGTGTGCAAGTGGCATTGTATGAGACCTAGAGTTATGCACACAGTAGTATAGTAAATAGTAAGATGGGACACGTTTTTAGAAACTTTATAAAACCCACTAAACCAACTTTACCTCCAAAATATCTTTGTGGGTGATCAATAACAATGAAAAGAATAACATTATCCATGGTTACTAAATTTAAATGAATATTGATCGATGTATAGACCATCAAACATTTTGGTCACTTTACTCAGAACAGCGGGGTAAGATGGGATATCTTACCCCGCTGTTCTGAGTAAGATGTGACACTAGATTATTCAATGAAAATTTTCATAAAAATTCGCCCTGACAAATGCTCCTCTGCAACACACACACGTACACCGCACGCACGCCGCCGTGCACAAACAACAAGTATATAGAGTTATAACAACTCTGGTGCACCCGGTGGCTAATGTACATTGCCGAACGGCCGTCGCCGTTGACTGCCAAGATAATTTACTTCGTCCAATCTTATACATTCAAACTAGAGCTGAGTAGGTCGAAGGCACATGTGCATGGTAAAATCTGATTTATAATATTCACTGCTCGCAGCATCACGCCCCCGCTATGCCTATGTTAATGTACAGGAAAATGCCGCACGGACGTCGGTCACCGTTGACTGTCAAGAGAAATTTCTTTGGCCGTTCTCATACGTTCAAACTATAGCCAGGCGGGCCCACGGCAGGTGTGCATGGTAAAACCCGATCCACAATCTTCACTTTGCTCGCAGCATCGCGCTACGATTCCCACCTATACCAATGTACATGAAAATGGCGCACGGACGTCGGTCACCGTTGACTGTCAAGATGATTTACTTCGCCCAATTTTATACGTTCAAACTAGAGCTGGGCGGGCCGACGGCGCATGTGCATGATAAAATCTGATTTATGATATTAACTGCTCGCAGCATCACGCCCCCGCTATGCCTATGTTAATGTACAGGAAAATGGCGCACGGACATCGGTTGCCGTTGTCTGCCAAGAGAAATTTCTTTGGCCGTTCTCATACGTTCAAACTAGCCAGGCGGGCCCACGGCACGTGTGCATGGTAAAACACGATCCACAATATTCACTTTGCTCTTAGCATCGCGCCACGATTCCCACCTATACTAATGTACATGAAAATGGCGCACGAACATCGGTCGCCGTTGACTGCTAAGATAATTTTGTTCGGCCGATCTTATCCGTTCAAACTAGACTGGGCGGGCCGACGGCGCATGTGCATGATAAAATCTGATTTATGATATTAACTTTGCTCGCAGCATTACGCCCCGGCTTCCCCGCTATGCCTATATTAATGTACAGGAAAATGGCGCCGGACGTCGGCCGCCGTTGACTGCCAAGAGAACTTTCTTCGGCCGATCTCATACGTTCAAACTAGAGCCAGGCGGGAAAACGGCACGTGTGCCTGGTTTAAAACCCGCGATCTACAATATTCACTTTGCTCGCAGCATCGCGCCACGATTCCCACCTATGCTAATGTGCATGAAAATGGCGCACGGACGTCTGTCGCCGTTGACTGCAAAAGTAGGTTTCTTTTGCTGATCTCATATGTTCAACGTCTATCGCCGTTGACTGCCGAGAATAGCTGTATAGGTATTATTAGCTATTGATAATAGTTATATACAAAAATCTTAAAATTAGATGATATTCGAGTTTGCTCATAGCAACAGTTCATCGTTCATACGAATATTCTTTTCAGATTCACATCGCTCATTTGTGATTTCGTTAAGTTTTCTTTACGCCCATAATTAGGAGTAGTAACGAGTGTTTTGTGCACGCACAGTACCTGCAAAATACTTCGCAATTAAACACCAATTAATACCGTTCACGATATGTTGTAAACCCTTTCAAATACGGTCACGTGACGCTAGCCGACAAACAAGTGTAAGTTACGGAGAGCCAGTATCTAACTCCGATGAACAAATCGTAATTTTTGATATAATGATTCCTATTATTAGATAGCGATCATACGACGTTATTTGAATCACTGGCAGCGAGATCAAGTCCGCCCCCACCACGCTCACGCTACAGACACCGCGTACATGGGTTGTGCATATGCACTGTTTATGTGTCAGTTGTTGCGCAGCTGTTCCCTGGGTGCAAATATTCTAGTCTTGCTCAGTATTATAGTCTTCGATATATTTTGTTAGCGTGATATTCCCTCAAGCATCATACCTGGCACGCGCATATTTATAGCACAGGTGGTTGTATGCTATAGTTTCCGTAATTTATTTTTTCGGAACTTTTAGTCGGAAATGTTGCGTGTTTACTGGGCATGGGGCATGTAAACAGGGTATAAATGAGAATCATTAAAAATCGGTGGTGCCGAACCTCATCCCGTGTTATTTAGCTTTCGTTAGTCGGGTTGTTTCTAAGTGACATCGTTTGGTTCTCACGTTGGTGTCATGATCCGATGCGGGATTGCTGATGACTACACAGTGTATGTGTCCACTCACGCTCGCTCACTCACTCACTCACTCACTCACTCACTCACTCACTCATTCACTCACTCACTCGTGAGGAGAGGTTTAACGAGTGAGGAAAGAGAGAGCGAGACAGAGGAGAGAGGATAGAGGAGAAGAGAGAGATCGAGAGAGACGAGAGAGTGAGAGAGGAGCAGAGAGAGAGAGAGAAGGAGGACGGAGAGAGAGAGAGAGAGAGAAGAGAGAGTGGCGCGCGAAAAAGTGAGAGGGAAAAAGAGAGGGCAGAGAGAGAGAGAGCTAGCCTTAGCTAGAGAGAGAGGTGAGCGTGGATGACCGATGTGAACTGTGTGTGCGTGCTGAGCGGGTGTGCGGT